TTCTTTACTTTCAAATTATATATATTCTTCTTTTTTTTTAACTATAATTAATAATGATATATTAATTATGTGTAATAACATAATATGTTTTAGTAAATAATTTGTTAATTTCATATAAAAATATTTTTTTTGCAAACTTTTGAAAGTTTTAGTATAACTTCTCGAGTATCATAGTCCTTTGTTATTACTAAACAATAAATCACTTCCTAGATCTCTCTATAAATTCACACGTATATTCAGTCATAAATCAATATGAATAATATGGCGTTCGTGTATTGTATATTTTATGCCTTTCTCTGGCTTTTGCTGAAAAAGAAGCTTACGCAAAAATGTTGTTCTTTTGTTAAATCTTTGTTGCAACATGTTTGAAATATAAGTGAAGGTAGGAAGTAATACCTTTTCCCATACGTTCACTTCCGCATCTCCGCCTATGTACTTAAATTTCAATCTTGTTATACTGATTATGTTTTAATTTAATTTTTTACGTAATTGATTTTTGTATAAATTTTACATTTAATTAAATTAAATTAGATGATAAGTATCTTAAATTGTTTTAATTTTTAATAATTCAATTAATAGAAAATAATTTAAGTTACTTTATAAATATTAAATAATTAATTAAAAATAATTTAACATGCAAATTTATTTAAAAAAATATATTTTTATGCATTTTATTATAATTCTTTAAAAAAAGAATTTAAAATAAAAAAAATATTAAAACTAGTTTTTAAATTTTTTGTTGTACGCATTGTACAACTATAGAAATGTGCAGTTGTAGAATTAATTATGAAATTTTAACATATAGAATGGTATCAGATTTGAATAGGGCTTAGGATAAAATAAGGCTTTAGAGTGAGAAGAATAATAACCGGTTCAACACAAAAGCAAAAGTAAAATTATTTGCACGATCTTCTCTTTCTCCTCTCACTTTCAATGAAAGTCGGAAAAATTCATTCACGGAGATTGTTCGTAATAACGTATAGTTAATACATAAATCGATAATTAATATTTATATTTATAATAATCGCAATAATTTTGTATAAACAGATACATGGATGCATTTATCAGATTGCTCACGTAATTCGGAAATAATTAATTATTTACAGCTAACAAGTTTAAATCTTTAATTTTAGAAATATTATCATCTTATTTTTCACAATAGTTATTGATTAATTTGATTTCCAAATTGTTCTTATTACTGAATTTAATTTCATATTTTTGCTGTTCCAGTGGCTTTATGATTATTCAGATAGTGGTTTCGGTTTCATTCGATTTTTCTCTTTGTTGCTTTTATTTTTAGCAATGTTACAGACATTGGTATTAGTGCAATCTTATATAGTATAAATAATAAATTTATACGAATAAATGATTTGCAATCATTGGAGAAAGTGTGCTATGTCTACTTTTTTATATTTATTAACAAAAAAAGAATAAATAAATACAAATGATTCTAAAACTGGAATAAAGCTCGTGATCATTATTAACAGAAATACATGATACTAAATAATAAATATTGATAAAATATCGGAAAAAACTTCCTAAAAATAAATCAATGTATTATTATTGAAAAACAATAAATATTCGCTGATGATTGCATCAGTTATAAGTAATGATGGGTAAGATACTCTTAAAATTTATCTAAATATAGATACAGTTATATATACGTAAATTTATTTAAATACAGATATAGATACATATATTAAGATGTATATAGATACAGATATCAGATACTGTGAAAGTATCTTCAGATACATTTCAGATTCTCTTAAATTAATTTTATTGTAATAATGATAATGTATAAAAAAATGTATTAGTTATTAAATGAATCATTCATTTATTCATATAGATAATTCATATAGATATAATCATTCATTTATTTATATAAATAATTATATAAATAATTTTATTTTTATAAATTAATTTATATAAATAAAAAAACTTATAATTATCACAAAACGATTTAGAATAAGAATTATAAGATGATATTATGCATTTTAATTTTACAAATTAAAAATGCTTCAAGCATTGTGTTTCCAGCTTAACTATACATGCGTTAGAAATTTTACAATCTAAGATCACTGGCTATGTTCAGCAGAAAAAACAGTTGTAAAATTCTTTAATATGACCGATTTGCATTTAAATCCTGTGAAAAACTAAAAGAAAGATCAATCATGTTATAGAATTTTGCAACAAAGCTGTTTTTTTTCGGAATAGGATCAATCGACAATTACGCATAAAATGGAATTATGACTATGCTAAGGAAATGTATCTGCAAAATATATCTGAAAATCAGTTCAGATGTGTGTTTTTTTTTATCTAGATACAGATACTCCAGATACAAATACTCGAATTTGAATGTATCTCAGATACAGATTAGATATACAAAATGTATTTTTATACATGTATCTAGATACATGTATAGAGATACTATCCCCAACACTGGTTATAAATATATAGCACTGAAATCACTGATTCACTTTTAGAGAATAAAGGTAATCAGAGAGATAAATTATTAAAATTATTGTATTCTCTCTAAAAAACGTCAATATGAATTTAATACCTTTGATATGGATTTAACATCATGGGTATGTAAATTTTAAACTTGTGGTATTAAATCCACATTATGTTGATTTTTAATTTAATACCAACATAATAAAAATTGTATAGACCTCATGGAGTTAAGTTCACACCGCTTTTTAGAGTATTATAATAAATAATTGTATTATAAAGTTATTGTATTATAATAAATAATATATATAATCTACAATAAATGTGTTTTTTTATTTTTGCGAGATAATTACTTTATAAATTTAGATTATATATTTATTATATCAAATTTATTATATCAATCTCATTAAATAATTTCAATTTTTAAGTATTGGGTTGTCCGGAAAGTGCCGATGTTGAAGGAAAATTGAAACGCAGAAAATTTAAATTTTAGTATACATTAATTAAATTATATAAATTAGTCGGCACGAACTTTTCGGATAACCCAATAATAATTTTATTAAAACTGTACTAAATACAAATATATTAATATAAACATATTGAAGTAAGAAAAACATTAAAAATTGAAACATATATTCTAAAATACTTTAAGAAAATATTTTTTTAATGAAATTGTTTTAAAAAAGCATTTTTATTCTAAATTCTGTTAAAAATGAAATAAATATTTCTGTTGCGACTGATTGACAATGAACTTGTGTATTTTCTTACGAAACGAATGCCATTCTTATGTTATATTGCACGTATGCGAAATGGAAACCGGTGAATCAGGTCGCAGGCCTTCTTACTTTGTATGAACTCCGTCGCTACCTTTCGGTGATAGTCCTTTCACTCTCGTTTACATTACATTCGCTTCGCTTCTGAGAAGATATTGATCGCACGTTTTTCATATTAGTATACAACCGGAAATTGAAACATAAGTTATATGTCGAAATTATTATTTCCTATGCTTTTTTTACTGTTTGCATGAGATAATCTAACGAGAAACTGCGATCAATCAATCTGTGAATAACCTTTTTTGTTTATTATATACTAAATATAATGCATATACGTAAATGTATATTTATATATTATAATATACATATAATAGATTTATAGTAAATAAATTAAATTTTTCACATAAAACGTTA